CACACACAGACACATACACACACACAGACACATACACACACGCACACACACACAGACACACACACACACAGACACGCACACACACACAGACACATACACACACACAGACACACAGACACACACACTCACACTGTGAGGATGTCGTGACGATGCTTTTCTTCAAGCCTCTCGGAGGGATCCCATCACACAGCTCACAGTGTGTTTCATTGAATGCAGACTTGAGTGGGCCACAGTGGAACCATCTCTGTCCTGCCTCCTCTATAACACATTTCCTTCAGTTACGTAAGTGAAGGGGATGTGATGCAGCACGACAAAAGAAAACCATCCATCCCAGCGTAGCACCTCCCTCTCCCTGCCACCTCCGGGGTCCGTGAAGCCGCTCCCTGCGGGGCATCATCCAGCTCGTGTGTTTGAACTCTCTTATGTCATTTAACCAGCACGTCCCTGACATCAACATGTCTTTTTCAAGGCAGAGCCAAGTTAGAAGGCACAGCATTACACTCTTCAGTCACAGACGTCTGTGTGAGCAGACCAGTGACTTCCCCTTTCTGTCACTGTTAACCAGTGAAACTGCACTTTAAACTCCAAGATATGAGAAAACGAAAGTAAATATTAGGGCTGGGCGATATATCGTGTTTTTAAATATATCGATTTTTTTTTTTTAATACGAGATGTGAGATGTGACAATATGTTACTGCGTTACGTTACAATTATAGTTGTGGAGCCGCAAGTTTGCCTCTCTTTCGTCCACTTTTGTCTCTACGCAACGTTACTCTGCCTTGCCTCTCCTTCACTGAACACAACTCCCCCATCACCTGCAGGTGTAATGCCTCCGGCTCTTCATAAATCACAGACGCTCAGAAAGGTTGGCTTTTCGTGGTTTATTCTGCAGAAGACATAAAAAACACTCAACATATGTCTTCTGATGGTACCAGCAATTGTAGCTCCCTCACAGTGCAAACGCACCTTGTGTTGACAGACTTACAATTTGCTTCTTAATAAAGAAAAGTTGGAAAATAATAATTTCTCCCATTTTACAGTCTGTCACACTGAACTTGTATACAAAAAGAAATCTTATAACCCATAAAAATACATTTCACAACCGTATAAAACAAAATAACAGGATAACAGAAGTCTCAGTAAACAGTATCACCGGCTCAACATTTCCCTCTTGTGGACAAATTACGGTAGAGCACTACATTTTCGCATGCTT